TATTGCACTCTATTGAAAATATTTAATATAATAGGTAGAATGGTTTAAGGAATTATTCGTATTAAATATACTCCGAAAAGAGAAGAATTTCTCGATTTAAATATTCTTATATTTTTTATTTGATATTGAATTTATTTCTATCTTTCTAAATTCTGAGCAGTGTTATTCATATGATAAGCTACGATTCTGTTCGTAACTCGTATCAAAGATTTATTGATCTTCTTTAAATCGCTTCTGTCTTAATGCGATGGAAGACCTAGAAAGGAGAAAAAAGGGAATTCTAAATTTCCCCATGACTACATATTGGCAGAGGTCGATGGAGAAAACAAGAAAAAAGAAATACGTACGATTGCAGGTCGCCAGGACATGCATTAAAACCCGCCGCCGCCCGCCGAATGCCCAGGGACCCAAAATCTCGCAAAAGGAGACAACATCGACCACAAATGAAACTCAACTCGGCGAGACTTCCGTTCTAGACTCAATTTCTCTTATACGTTCCATCTATCGATTGCGAACTGTGCTGGGGATCATCCTGGCTATCGGCAATCACAAAGCGGAGTCGAGGAAGATTCGAGGTCAGAATCAGTCAAAAAATAATCCCAGAGGCAAAGAATCCTATTTTCTTTGGGAGCTCGCTCGTCTATGCATGAGGCATTGATTGCTATATCGTTGGAGGACAATCGAGATTCGTTCTTCCAATAAGTGTCGAATACGTCCGGCCTGCCGTTCATTAGGGCTATCGACAGCCTTATATAAGGAATCCAAAATCCTAATATCTTCCTCGTTCATGCCCCTGCGTGATCCAGCCAATGGAATTAAATCCAATCCCCTATTCTCGATATCTGGCGTAGGTCGCCTGGTCGAGCCTCTTAATAATGGCATAATCTTCGGCAATCTTACGCCCTCTTGTTATTCGAAATGCCGAGGGAATGGTTAGAAGATCAGCAGGTCTCCTATCGGGCTCGTCGGGGAGAAATCCCAAGGATTCAATCTTCAATCTAAGTCCCCCTCTCGATAAAAGACGGCAAACCTCATCACGGATATAATTATATAATCCCGTCTTGCCAATCATGATATAGGCTAAACAGTGATGATCATAATGATCCGAATTTTGAGGGCATCGTAAGCAAGCCTCATCAATATCGAATAAAGGCAAACCAAGTCGCATGGCTATTGAATCTGAAAATACAATGTTGGAAAGATAATTATCAAAAATATGACTTGGAATTCAGCGAGCCATCAGCCCAGTATCCCGTATAATATTGGACGCGCAATTGATCCCAGGGAGGCAATAATCCCTGAAAATCCCTATGAGACGTCGTTTCAGTTTGGGATATTAGATCCTTTTGTCGAAGCCGACTCTGGGAGTTCTGAAAATCAGCCTGCCAAGTCGGGAATAAAGCTTATAACCTCTGAGCCGCCACTATCCATCCCAAAAGTGAATCTTGCGGAATTGACGATACTAAAGATTGACGTAGTTCTTGAATGAAGGGGGAGGCCACGAGATAAGAGATATCAACTCGATAGCAAATGGAATCTCCGATGAAGATGCTCTCGAACTTAAGTCCCAAGCCCGCTAATTTGGGAGGAAGGTTGGCCTGTCGCCAGGATTGCTCAGGAAAAATTCGCTCAATTATCGTTTCGAAAGCTTGACGATAACGTTTGTCATATCACTCCAGCAAGGGGCTCAAGAACTGGCGGGGAGTCGTTCTGGCAAGATATTGAAGTTATCAAAATCCCATGCATTGTTATAAGAGATGGAATGCCGCATATTTATTCTATAATCTCCCTATCGCTCGGAAAGAATATTCAAATTTTTCCTTCCTAAGATCACAGAAATCGTTCATGAAAATCTGTTGTCCTGAAAACGGCGTCTTCAATATTTGAATATCGCAACCCGATTTAATCTGAATCCCAAGCTCTTGGAACCCCGACACATCTCCCCTGAAACTATCGCCTGACAAAAGATAGACCGTGCACTGGGCAAGGTCGTACTTCAAACCAAATTTAGCTGCCAATCTAAGCTCCTCCCGGAAATACCGGATGATATCCCGCGCCCGTCCCCCTCAGAAGCCGTCATCAGCATATTCCGGCCGGAATGGAAGGACTACTCCCATTTCAATAGCGGCTTCCTCTGCGTGACAGCAGCTTCCTCTACGTGACGCTTGCGGGCCAAATAAAATAAAATCATCATCATTGGGCAATGCTGATGCCTCCCTTGCGCTAATATACGTCGATCCTTCATAAACCAGATGGGAAGCTGACCCATAACACCACGCAGCAAGGCGAGAAGAAGCTGGGACATACTGTCGATATTCCTCCAAAAAGATTGATGGCAGAATAGTATTGAAGGCATTACTGATATCTTTTTATAAGAAGATCATATCTTCTCCTCCCTTATTCTGGGCAATCCAATTCCGAGCCGAGTAGATGAGGGCCTCGGCGTCTCCCGCAACAACCACGGCTAATTGATGAGGGAGTAAACGAGTCCGAATGCCCTCCGCATCCAGACGAAAAGTGCACTTAAAAGCCAATTTACGAAAGATTTGCCCCATAACTATGGGACGTGCATCACGGTCCAAAGCTATGGAACGTCCAGATTGACCAATCTTTCCAATTCCAATAAGGCTCCCTCCTGCTAACCAAGGTTGTAATATATCAGGGACCTCCATATCTACGTATATTTGAAGGAGCCTACACAAGACATATAAGACCTCCGAATCCAAGGACTGCCCTACTATTCCCTTCAAGAAATCAGCTCGTAGGCGGTCGGGCCCCGGTCCAGATCCTATAGGAAAGGATTGCAACGATTTGAATACCAGCTCCAAGGGAAGTTCGGGGCGGGCGGTTGTGCCTTCCCAGGGCGAGGCGCAAATTCATCAGGATTAGGGAAGAATTTAGTTAAAAGCTTTTATTTAATTATATCATTTGATTCCGCCAGCCCCGGGGACACAAGATATTTAGCAGCTTGCCCGGCGGGACCGAGAGATACCAAACGACAAATATCTATTTCACGTTATTCCAAGTTATTATCCTTTTATCGTATTTTCTCGCGCTTGCGTATCGCCATGACCGCTTCATCCCGCAGACCCTGCCGTTCCCCCATCTTCCAGCGAATAAGCAAGCTTCTAGTGCAGGCTATGGCTTGGCCACGACGTTATCCCCGCTTATTCTGCCTATAGATTGTTTTAGGGAATATAAGTAGCTTAATCCAAGCCCTACGCGCGCTATTTACCCTCGCTATCGCCGCCTTCCCCGGCCGGGCTAATATCCCAAGCATCCCGACGACTAGACGAGATGATAGCCGCAAATAACCGAGCATATTCGCTATATATCTGAGGCCACAATCTTACAGGAAGATGATCTTTAATGAAGATAGGAGTGACGAAAATATCATGAAAGGAAGAGATGATCCCTAGCGCAGGTCGCAATCGATAGATGGAACGTATAAGACAGCTTGAGTCTAGAACGGAAGTCTCGCCGAGCTGAGTTTCATTTGTGGTCGATGTTGTCTCCTTTTGTGTCTGCGAGATTTTGCGTCCCTGGGCGTTCGGCGGGCGGCGGCGGGTTTTAATGTATGACCTGGGGATCTGAAACCGTACGTATTTCTTTTTTCTTAATTTCTCTATCGACCTCTGCGAATATGTAGTTACGGGGAAATTTAGAATTCCCTTTTTTCTCCTCCCTAGGTCTCACTTCGCATTGAGACAGAAGGTTTTGGAGCTATAAGACCCTCCCAGAGATTATCCGTTCTCCCATTCCATCTGCCATCTCCCGCGACCATTCGCCTCCAACCGCCACCTATCATTACCGGCCCCTCCACCACCAACAATAGCCGTCGCCACCAGCGCCATTGCCGTCACGAGCAGCGACCTCTACGTGCTATCATTATTTATGATTTTGAATCCTCTCGAAGAATTATTGAAAAATTATCATATCTAGCAAAAACAGATTATAAGAAAATCACGAAATAGCATAACTTAGAAAATCGGAGAAAGAAACCGCATATCAATAAAAGAAAGAAATACGTGATATTTTAATATAATAATTATGAATAAATATTTTCAATACAAAATATCGTCAAAAAATCTTAAATTCATGTTAATTATCAACGAATAGAATATCTTTCTTAGTTCTAAAATCTATTTAATGGAATTTTCAAAATTAGATTTCTTATATATATATTATAAACCTTCATAATATCATATTATATATATATATACAAATTTTAATTCTATTTTAAAATTCATCAATCTCTCGATATCATAGAATCTAAATAATTTAGAAATATCGTATATATATCCAATGAATTTCAGAAATTAAAAATATTTATGAATATAATATGCCAAATTTTAAGAATTAGATTTCGATTCAAAATTATTCTAGAATCTTCATATTCATCATTAAATATTAGAATCTATCGTATATCTCAAGTATCCCAAGCGAAAATCAATCACTAAGATCTTATCAATCTTTTTAAATCCGTCGGCATCCTTGAAAATATTTTTTCTTTGAATAATTTCTATAATTTCCCATCTGGATTCATTATATATTCTTAGTCATGTTGCATTCATTTAAGTGAAGAGATCCTGTTTAATATATTTCGACCGACCGCCGCTTCAAGATCCTGCCATTATTGGGAGAAAAACACGGGACCGAATCCAGACCATCCCTTTTCAAATAATCTCCAAGGCCTCCCGGGGTCCTCAGTACCGCGGGTCCTTCTTCAGGACGTCTATCCCCAAGATTAAAGAGGGTCCAATATCAATCAAAATCGTTGTGTAATGTGGCCTGGATATCGTCGAAAAAAATCTCATAAAAACGAAAATATAAGTAGGTCCCAAAGATTAGGTGCCGGCGTCCATAAACGCTAATAGACGAGGTCAGCCTTCTCTTATCTAGTCAGTAATCCCCAATTTACCGGCCGTGCACTAGGTGCCGACAGAGATCATGTTGTTTTGCAACTGCCAGAGCACGTCGAGTTACGGAAGCTCCCGTTTTCAGCTCTGTATGCAGTCGGCGAAGGCCAGCACCACGGAGAAACGCTCCTGGCGTCGTGGGAGGATGTACTTCATGGACCCCCAAAAGTCGCAGACCACAGGGCCCCCAAGCTCAGGTGACTGAAGCTGAAATCCTGCTCGGATACCATGCCGCCACTCGTAGCGCGCTGATCCCGTGAATGCAACTAGGCTCCTACGGCGAATGAGAAGGTCCAAGTCAGAGTCCGTCCACGATCTCTGCTCAATTTCCAGGCCTGTTCGCGGAGCGGTATCTGCCGGTGTGAAGGTAAGCACAGCACCACTAAGAATGCCTAGCAAGAAGACATGGGGACCGTCGGCAGGAGGGTCTACATGCGGATGGATCATGAAGAACGAGCCTGTTCGATGATTGATTGTGCAATCTCGCAGTGGCCCCAACTTGTAGCCTTTCTCAGCCTGTAGCCGCTCGACAAGCTTCAACACCAACGGGGGCAACTTGTTGACATCCAGGTCAGCCCCATATCCCCAAGGTGCCACGACCCCCTCCTCAGCACCACGTGTTTCAGGTCGGCCGGTCACTCGCCTGGACAGATTCTTGCCAAACTCTTCTTGCGTTGCCCCCGTACTGTCCACCAATTGCACCGATACTTTCTCTACATCGAAACAGAAGCCATATTTGTCAACATAGGCTCGAAGCTCTTGAGCCAACTGTTCTTCTTCTGCCTCATCTATGAAGTTGGGCTCCACCCTTAATCCTGGATTGTCTGCCTCCGTGACGACATCACCTTTCATATTTCGCACGCGCTGTGAGTCCTCCGGGGTTGGCGGACGAATGGCACTGGGGCATCCTTCCAGTATCAGCTTCTGACTGGATAGCGAGTAGTGCGCACGTCTTACTCCAAAGTCTTGCCATAAGGCAGATGCCGATGTAATCTCAGGCTTGCTGCTCCATGCCCAGCAATGGCTCACACCGCCACGCCGTCCATGCCTCACGCTCTCGCGGGAGCTTGGGCCCCTTTGTGATCTCAGCGCCTCCGCGAGTATTCCTGCTGCAGGGGCTGCCAGGCAGGCGAAGAGTCGTGTTCTTTGCATTGCGACTCGTCAACGAGAAACTGTGCTGCGCTGCTACACCTTTGTTGCGGGGAATGGGTTCGGGTCTTCCTGCATAGGTGGCCGGAGGGTAGTGGTGCTTCTGGGCTTGTGATGCGCGCAGCTCCCTGCATGAAGATACAGCTGTAGCGCTTGATGCCTGGCATGGCTGCGAAGTAAACCTTTCATGAGGACTTGCCTGTTGCAGGACGTGCAGCCCAGGGCACATCACAAGTGCACACAGCTGAATGGGCAAAAAACGTTGACCTCAGGGAACTGGCAAAAGCCCTTAAGGGGAACACTCCCATTGGATCCAGTGAATAATGGTGAACCAACAAACAGGAGGATGAAATTTTGATACACTGCACAGGGGGAGATGGTGTCCCTGTTAAATTGCTACTTGAGGGCCCAGGGTCATCAGCATGTATTTCTCACTATAGTCATAACCCGCCAATATCCATAGCTAGAAGACGTAGGGGGCCCATCAGTGCATTGACCTACATCAATAGGAGGGACCCCAAATGCCATGTCTTCTGTACAAGGGATCCCCGTTTAGGGTACCTCTTTAGAGCCTCCAGTGTTCACACACTACAGCTAGAACTGTGTTGGCATTACCCGGGCCTCCAAGTTTGTTGAAACTCTGATCCCCCAAATGCGGACCCATGACCACCAAGACTTCCACTCGTACTTATTTGTAGGGTTTAGGGGGGGTACCAAAATCCCTTCATTGAAGTACACACCCGCGAACCTTTTGCCTGGCCCGGCCTCAATTTTGTGTTGCAGCAGCTCCATCTGCAGTCTGTGCTCAAGGCTTGCGAGCGCCCCACACAAAAATCCTGAGCCCCAAGCCCTAAAACGTACAGCCCATGTCCAAAATCCTGCTAGATCATTAACCCTAAACCTTAAACACTACTCTGGGGCAATTGCAAGCCTTGCCTGGCACTGAAACAGGACAGGCCACACCGCTGCTTGTCATCGAAGAGGGCGACCTTATTGCCACAAGACTTACTGGTGCTTGCCCGTGCTTGAGGGGACTCGGATTTAGGGCTTAATCGCTATGGTCTAGGACTTAGGGTTTAGGGTGTGGGAAAGTGGGGGAGTGGATCCTGGTAATTATCCCGACAGCATCTCCGTAACTGATTAACTGCGGGGTTAAGGATTTAGTAAGTTTAGGGCTCAGGATTTGGGGATTTCAACTTGCATGTCCTTGCGCATACACCACCAGGTACGAGGTCAAAAAACCCAAAGGGGTTTAGGGTTAAGGGAACCCAGTGCTCGACCCTAAATCCTAAACCCTCTATATTAGGATATCTTATACCTAACTGAAGCCGCAGAACCCTCAGCCCTAGAGCTCTGTTCTGCCTTCTGCCTACCTGAGAAGGGAAGGATATGTGGTAGACGCGAGCCTAGGCTAAAGAACATGAGGTAAACCCTAAGTTAGGGTTTAGGGGTAAGCCCTAAGCCCTGACCCCACTAAACCCTGAACCCCAAAGCCCCCATCTCTCTGAACCCTGAACCCCAAAGCCGAGACTCTCTAAACCCCAAACTCCATCTCCCTGAACCCCAAAGCCTAGAAACCCTAAACCCTAAACCCTTAAACCCTAACCCCTAAACCCTTAAACCCTAAACCCCTAAAACCCTAAACCCTTAAACCCCTAAGCCCCTAAACCCTAAACCCTTAAACCCTT